AATAAAAACAAAACAATACATTGTACACAATAAAATAGGAAAAATAGCACATATTTTTACAAGCGAAACCAATCAGGTACACTAGCAACAATCACTCCAGTATAACAGTTATGCAGACAAACCGTATTTATAAAGAAATAGGTCAAAAATGGAAATGTATAAATGCGTATCACTGTGGTTGATAATTGTATGCACCCAGCTTTATATAACTGTAGTCATCTGAAATCCTGATGAACAAGCTAAGCTTTTTGGCAAGATGGATCAAAAAATGCAGTGGGTCACCAACACGTATATAGTTACCCAAAGAACCGAGATCCTGATAAATTTTCTTTCACAAACACAGACATAAAAAATCTTTCTTTATTGAAGAAATTTCAACATGTTTGGGCACAGAGACAGTGCTTATATGCAAAGTCAACGTTGTGATAATGCACTTCTGGTGGAGTCAAATTTCTGATGTCCAAGGCATTGGAAGGGAAGTCTGCCCTAGTTCTCACAGAGAAACCAGTTCCCCTCCTGTGTGTTCTATATGGGCCCCTGGCAGATCGCATGGTGCCTGCTAACATTGAGGGCAGGTCTTCTTCACCTCATCCACTCAAACTCACACACTAATGTCATCTGGAAGCACCCTTACAGACACACCCAAAAAATGCTTTAATAGGTTTCTAAGTATTTAATCCAGTGATATCTAAAATTGAATCCACAGGTCAACCCCTTGTCAACTTAGCTTCCGTAAGTATCTCCCTAATCATACTTAATTTCCAAATAAAGACTGCAACAACCGCCTAACATGATGCAACTAACATGATGTAATGATCCTGCGTATGACCAAAAACTAATCCCTTTCCCAGAATTCAGCTTTCAAGATTTCATATTTGAGATTTTAATATTTCGAGATTGTCATTTTCAGGATTGTAGACATGAGAGATTTTAGACCTAAGGGATTTAGACTTTAGGGATTTTGTATCTTTTCAGATTTCAACATTCAGGATTATTGCATGTGGGATTGTGTCTTTCAGGATTATGATCAAAATCCATTTTAGAAAAGGTCATTGTGATCTAGAGGTCTGAGGATATTTCTGGAAATATTTTGGTGACATACAGGTTTTTTAATACTTTTTTTTGCCTATATGTCTGCATAAAAAGAAATGGGATTATGATAACTTTGAAATAACATTTTACATTAGGATTTAATTCCCACTCTCATTTACTACTAAATTGAGAACCTGGGGTTTTTGGCCCTTGTTATTTTTTGTTTGTTTGTTTATCTTTGACCTATATGTATATAAAATATAATATTTGGATTAGTTTCCAATAAATGCTTATTTAATTGAATTTGAATTTATTATATTGAAACTTTTTAAACTACCCATCTGTCCTAGCCTGACATTTGTATTAGCTTGTTATAGTTCTTGTAATAGAACATGTATCTTTTCCCCCAAAATTAGTAAAATGTAGTTTTATAAATACCCCAGAAGAAACTGAGTCACATTTCTTTACTAACATTACTGAGATGATGTGAGAAGAATTAACTCAACATTCTTAATAATGGAAATATAGTAATCAATATAGTTGATGGTTGTTTTGATGATACTTACTTTTCTTCTCGGAAACAAGTGGGTTTTTTGTAAGTATCCAATGTCTTTTCACTCTAAAATATGTTTTCATTATCAAGAGTTAAATAAAAGAGAAGATGGCTGATGGAAAAACATACTGCAAGAATACAGGGATGAAATGTAAATAAACCATGTTAAATAATGGTCAAAATGAAGAAGACACATTATTTGCAGTATTTTGTGTGGAATGCCCTATCCTGGAACCTTTAATAACTGGGATAATTATGAACTCAGTTTTCTGGAGTTGTATTCTGTTTCTTATTCATTATTATGAAAGCTGAGAGATCTTTTTTTTTTTTTTTTAAGCAATTGTGGTTTGAAGGTGTAATTTAAACTTAAAAAGACAAAAGATGCATAGGCATATTATATCACTATTGTGATTTTGTTATCCCTTTTGTATGTTCATCATAAATTTTTGTATTCTGTTAAAAATCACTCTGAAACAGACAGTGGGTCCATTTTTCATGAGTAGATCATAGTAAATTTTATTTGGAATATCTCATAATGATTTGTATCATGTTGGTAAGGGACAAGATGGTGAGACTGGATAATACAAATGCTAGACTTATATGGTTAGTTATTAATTACCTGTATTTCCTTAAGCAACTCTCTTTAAAGCCTGACTCCAATAGTGAGTTCTTTTGTAATCAAGTCTCCTTAGTTTTCTCATGAGTAAATTTCAGTTATTGTTTTTCTTAATATAAGAAGTTCTTGTTCTGATCTCACCACAAAAAAAAAGTAGTAACTAGCTGAGATGATGGATTTATAGCTTGATTATGGTAATTATTTCACAAGGTATAGGTATATCAAATCATCAAATCGTACACCTGAAATATAAAGAATCTTGATTTGTCAAATATACCTCAATTTAAAAAGTGTTCTTTAAATAAATGTTTTGTAAAATAAAAAAAAAAAAGTTCTTCAAAAGAAATCTTAAATCTCCAAATGTAAACAGGGAAAAGCAGAACTCCCCTGGTTCCACGGAGAACCTTTTTTTGAGGAAACTTAGGCAACTCCAGGTATTCTATGTCATGAGGCAGAGTTTGAAAACTACAATTGACTCTCTAAACTTCCTCCCAGGTCTAAAATGTGATGATAGTCACTACTTCAATACATCATCCTGAAAGAAAATTGTTAGGTCCACACTGTTTCTATCCTTTGAATTTTACACATAAATTTAGAAACCAAAAGTTTATTTGTAATATCAGATGGAATCAGATCATTGTTTTTGGTTGGTTGTTTATTTTCCACTGACAGGAACGTATGATTTTGTTGTGTAGCTTAAATCAACTGCAGTTTGGAATATATATATTTTTAAAAATTGTAACTTATATATCCAAATACAATTTTTCAAGAAGTATTCAGTAGAAATTAATCTGTGAAAGAAAAGGAAATCAGCAGTGCCTTATTTGATGAATGATTTAACATGCTTATTTCTTTCCTTTCATCAAAACTTTGTGTCCCCTTGTTTGCCGCCTCTGACTTCATACTCTGGAATTGACTAAGATCCCTCTTCCATCGGATTATCCTGAGACTCTTGAAATAATCTGCTTTTTCCTCTCTTTCCCTGTTGCTTCTGATGCCTTACAATTACATTTTCCTTGCTGATTTAGTTTAGAAAAGAGAAAAGAGCTTCCATGACTAGTAGATTATCACTTTTGGGTTTGCTCTTGGAAGTGACAAGATGCTAGGATCCCTCTTTGGAATGCAAAATTTATCTCTTATATAGAAATGATATAAATGTGCACCAGAGACTATAAAACTCTGATACTATCTACTGTACTGTATAGCTGAATGCCACAATGTGTCTAGTAATCTATTGACTATCATAAATGCTCTTTCTACAGAAAAGTTAGGAGGCCCATATTTCAGGCAACCAATGTATAGCTGAACGCAGAACAGTCATAGTTGGGTACTAACCATATTGGTTTATCCATCAACAGGTGCGTATGCTCAGAAATTCTGTATCCATAAGAAATCAGAGTACTTTCTTTTCCTTTTGCAAGCAAATTGAATTTAGCCTGAGAAGCTGAGGGGAAATTTTCACATATAAGCCATGGTTTTGTGTTTTGTGTTTTGTTTTGTTTGTAGATATAGTACTAACTGGATGGATGCAATAAAATTCATAGGTGGTACTAAGATACAATAGGATTTGTGAAATGGACAATTGTCTTGCATCAATAGCAAGTAAAAAATCAAGCCTGTCCTTCATACAAATGTTATTCTGGGGTGAGCTTGTTTTCCAAAACTACCTCTATTAAATCTCCTGTTAGTCCTGAAACTAGAAGGCAGAAAAGCTTCTAGTGCTACAGCCAACTGCAGTGTAGCCTGAGAAACAGGCAACAAAAATAGAACACCAGGATTGCTGTGCGTGGGTGAGGCAGAAACCACATTATGAGCAAAAGCTTCCAGTATTATTTTAGAACCAATACAGAGCTCTGCACTTCTCTCCTCTCTCTTCCAAAAACACATACTACAAAAATAAAATGAAATGAAATGTATGTGCATTTGCCCTCTTAGAATTATGATTCTTAATTTTTTTTCTTGCCTTCCTTTCTTTGGAAGCGAATCGCCAGTATGGAAACACAGTGTGTAAAGCAAGCTTCGAGGGAGGAAAGAGTTAATTGCTTTTAAGGCCCTGCAATAGAGAATTATGGTTTGAAAGATAGAGGCTGGACAGCTGGGTTTGCTGGGGTATTTTTAAATGCATTAATGCAGGCTCCAATCACTCGGCCATGCTTGACCTATTTTTGGCTCAGGCCGACCATTGTTCTATTTCTGTGCCTGTGGGCCATGCTGTTGTTGATTCATATGCAAATGGATTATCACTAGCTTTAGCCAACTTGAGCTGAGAGAGACTGAGAAAGGGGGAAGAGAGGCACAGACACAGATAGGAGAAGGGCACCGGCTGAAGCCACTTGCAGGACTGAGGGTTTTTGCAACAAAACCCTAGCAGCCTGAAGAACTCTAAGCCAGGTTTAATTGGTTTCTTTTTCTCGTGGGTAGACTTAATAATTTTTCTACTTATTCTGACAAAGAAATAACCCCGAAGCACGTTCCTGTTTCCCACCTGCTTGTAGTTTCCGGGATAACCTAAACTCCAGAGAGCTGTAGCATCCACTCTGTCCTTTCTGCTTTGCACACAGGTTGGTAACATGGGAAAAGTGTCCAGGTCTTTTTAAAAGTGGATGCCCATTTGAGCAGAAAGGAAATCATTGTTGAAGTTGATCCTCTGCTGCTTCTCCTCAGGGAGGAGGGAGAGCCAGCGAGGGTAGCTCCTGGGGCCGGTGCACTGAGCAGTGATGAATGTTTCATGTAGCTGAAGTAAGAGTGACTGGAATATGCTGCAGACAATTTACGAGAGTGACTCCTGTTTTTCCTCAGATGGGGTGGCTGGACGAGAGCAGCTCTTGGCTCAGCAAAGAATGCACAGTATGATCAGCTCAGGTAAGATCCTCTTTCATAACTGAGACGATTTAGGTTTGAAAAGGGGCTGGCTTGGGAAATGCAGCTAAGAAAAGCACCTCTCTTAAGGAAATTGCTGCTTTTTCATGTTGATGTTGCTATTTTCTTGGTGCGTCTGTAGGGTTTAACTTAGATCCCTTCCATTACTGTTTCTGTGCATATTCAGTCTGCTTAGGGACAGCAGCTTCTGAATGAAATTGCAAACTATTGCTTCTGATGAAAGATGAGACTAAGTAAAATGTAGTTGGGGGTGTTTTGCCTTTACTATGCAACTAGAAAAAGGAGATCTGTACTGATTGTAAGCCTATTCTAATAGGACTTTAAAAATCAGGTAAGTTCATTTTGGGGCTTCAGTTTAAATTGCAGCCCCGCTAGCTTGACGATTTTATATTTACTGTGTGCCTACAGAAGCATATCTATTTATAGACCTACCTTCTAAAATGTGTTTGCTACAGAGTTATAAAGGTAGTTTTCTTCTTTCCATTATGTGGCTTTTTCTCATCAGCCCCAAATGAAACTGTTTAGGATGAAATAAAATTGTTATTAGCAGATGCTTATTTTAATTTTCTTCAAAAACACGTGGGAAGTCTAGCATTGTCAGGCAGATGTGATGGCATAACACACATGTAAATGTGTTAAAAGCAGGTGCAGCATTTTAAAGGATAATAGGAACAGATTCTAATTTCTAGTTTCTCAGGGAGATGAGCTGGTGGGAGATGGAGCTTGTCAGCCTTGTCAATTTATACTTACTAAATGAACATACTCTCCAGGCAATATCACTTACTTGTAATTATTGCCTTTCTTATTTATTTCCTATGGCTATTTCCTAAAGCTTTGGGAACTCTTTGTTTCTGTCCTCTTCTGAATGATTCAACCTAAAATTGGCTTAAAGTTCCCACTCAGATCCCACCTCCCATGTGGGCTTAATCATAATTATAGATCACCGCCTAGATTTCCATGATAAGAATGCCACATAAAGCAGTGTTTACTTTGTAGAGCTAGGTGTGAAAGAAATATTCCACAGGTTGGCATGATGTCTGTTTTGGTGTTAATACACCTTCCCCATATGCGGATCTATGTTTAAAGCTAGTTTTCTTTAAACCTTGGTTAGTTATGATGATTTTAAGATCCTTCTGTTGACCCCATCTTTTCATGGAATCAGAATAAAATATCACTTTTGCACAATTCGGTATTTATACACTTAAGTGACAGGAGTTATGTTAATGAATAGTGCCTGCTTAACAAAAGCAAACCTACCAGAATTTTGGTACAGTTTATTCTTATAGCTGCAAAACTGACAAGGGCTTAGGAGGGTTTAACAGGTGTGTCTCTAATGGGACTGATCATTTAACTTAGCATTTTATTTTTAAAAATATGGATGAACTCTTTGAAAATAACTAGTTTAGAAATATTTTCAGCACTATGCTTTGTCCTTTTAGTCCTCACTTCTGTGTTACAAGTTCGATATTTTTTTCATGTGGTAGAAACATACATGCCTTCCAAGTAGCAAGTGTCTGCTGACGCTAAGGCTGGCTACAGGTGTTTGCAAGCTTTGCTTTTTTTTCCACATCTTGGATAATCACATACAACTTTACACCCATTTCAGCAGAGATTGTTATTTTCCTAGCATTTAATGGTTTGTGTACAAAGCAACAAGATTTTCAGACAGGGAAGTGCTTCAGGCTGTCCATGCTTTTGCCAGTTCTACGAGAAGCAATGTTTAAGCACCAGCTAGCTATTAAATGAAAGGTAATGTAGGTTAACCTCGACTCCCAAAACCTGTCTGGTATAAATACATAATCACTAAGTTCTATTTATTTTTAAAATTTGAACCATAAAAACAATTGTACCCTTCCTACTGTGCCATATTCCTACCATGCCATATATTTCATATGTGTTCTTAAATTTAATTTACCTAGTCTTTATTGTATACTTCCTGTGAGGCACTGGCTCTCAAAGTTGTACTCACCAGAAACACTTTACAAAATATGATACCTAGATTCCACTCCCAGAATGTCTGATTTAATTGGTGTGGGGAACAGCGTGGGGATTGAGGTTTTAAAAATCTCCCCACCTATTTTAACCTTCAGCAAACTGCGATCCACTGCTGTAGGGCTAGGGAACGGATGGGGATGCTGGTGAACTACTATCAGTAGGGTCTGTCCTTTAACTGCTAAATTAGGGGTGTGTTTGTCTTAATTTAACTACAAATCTTGTTCAGCCCCCTTTTGGACCAGTGGTCTGGATGTGATTCATAGGCTTAGAAGCAGAGTCTTTAGACTTGAAAGAGAGACAGGATGCCTGGTAGCAGTGCAGAGGAGTGGAGAGAGCACTGTTCAAGGAGTCAAACACTCTGTATTCTAGCATGAGCTCCACTGCTAGCCAATTGTGTACTGATTTTTTACTCATCTTCAAACGGAAGAATAACGATGTCCTCCTGCTTGCCTCTTAGCATTCTTGTGAGGTTCAAATATATCAATATGTATTTAAAACATATACTCACTATTATAATTGTTGTTTTTAGTGAATGAACCTAGGATCCTGATTTTCAATGCCGTGTTCTACATTATCCAGCTGAACAAGCCAGATGAGTTACATTGTAGGTCACATGGGGGAAGTGATCGTTTGTTTTGATAATCAGTTTGCCTTGGTTATCTTGTAAATCAACTATTTCTTTTGTTATCTTGGTTTGATGAGAGTTGAGATCTTTCCTATGCAGATTATGACTATAGGTAAGAGTGGGGTGTGTGTGTGTGTGTGTGTGTGCTCTGTGAAATGTCTCATTATGTAATTAAGGCAAAGAAGTTGCACAGTATGTGATTGAACAGTGAACCCCAATGGCAGATTTCTTGAGATTATTTTTAAAACGTTGGTTCTGTCATGTAATCTCTTTAGCAATTGCTTTAGAGTTCGCATTTGTTGTTCTAGTTATATTGGATATTATGCTCTAATATAGATGGTTTTTGTTCAGAGTTCTTTATATACTATTGGAAGACAAGTGTTTTTTTATTGTTGTATGTTTTTCTGACATTGACTCAGCCAGGCTGAACATGTTTGGTAGAACCAGGTTCTATAATATTGTACTAATATATTTTAGTTTAAATTTCTATAATATTAAATCTTAGAATTCAGTATGAGTGACACAGTTTGTCAAGTGCATCCCTACTTTTGTGGCTTGTGTGGGCCAGTGTAAGTGATAACTGTGGCAGAAACTGAAGCATGTACAAATATTGACTCAGGTCACTCCGCAGGAGCTGGCAAGATTGGGGTGTTCTCCCGTTGCCAGGCATGTAGCTTAACACATTGGGCAGCAGAACTATCCAGACAATATTGGAACAATTATTATGAAGGAATTTCCTAGAGCTTACAGAAGTAATGTAAGATATATTTACAATAAGGAAAGCTCATATTTTGGCCATCTATTCTTATTTTAGGGTATAAAAGAAAAACATTTAAATCAAAATCCTGAAATTCTTTTATACGTCTTTACCCATTTTTGAATCCTTTTGTTCCTTAGTGTGTGGTGTTGAGGGGAAGGGAACATTTTAGATTCAGTAGTCACGTCACTTATGTCTACTTGAAAAGCAGAATCTAATTATGAAAATGTAAGTCTGTGAAATGTTCCTGTCATGTCAAGAATCACTTCTGGTATTCCCCATAATTACTGTTTTGCCATTCTCTAACTCAGGTTATCTTCACTTGCAAGTCTGTTATCAATTGAGATAGATGATAGGTATCAATCAGAAATATAATTATAAATAGGCTCATTGAGAATGGAGGCAAGAATGAGTATTTTATATTTCTAAGGATGACACAGAAGGCATAATTATGGTTATGTCCATTAAGTAAGAAAGTCCAATAAAACCCCTTAGAAGACTGAAATAAATCCAGATTCTGAATTCAAAAAATATTCTAAATGATGATTTTAATTTTGGAGATGAGCGATTTTAAAATGTGCCTCATAATTTCTCACTACTGATAAATAATGAAGTGAGCCCAAAATAGCATGTCAGCCAACAAACACTCCTTCCACCCCTGTCACCCAATATATTCAACAGTAACTGAGCAAAGAAAATGATATAACCTAACACAACATACCTCAGAGGCTAACAGCCAAGGAAAAAATGGATGCGGAGGTTCTTTGATCATAACAGAGAGACCTGTCTCCTGGGCTGTCTTAGAATTTTACTGGAAGGTTGACCAATTCCTGAGAATTCTCACTAAGATTCCCAAATCTGAAGAGAAGAAAACTGAGTGGGTATCCTCACCATTTTGGGTGGTTCATGTTTTCTCTTGTGACTGAGAAATAGTAGAAATGAAGGCTTCAGCACAGCATACTAAATTGGGAGAATGATCGATCCGTAGCTCTTTGGAATGACGTACCTTTCACCAACTAACCTTAGAGATTCTACCAAGAAAAAAAGTCAACTCATTGAACCCAGGGAATTAGATGTCTTAGTATTGCTTCCCACAAAGAGCACCTTAATAAAAACATGAATTTTAAAAAAGAAAAGCTTAAAGGTGAGATGATAAAACAAGAATGAGATAAGAAGGGAGATATAGATCTCAGGAAATGATTTAAGAATGGAAAATCGTAATGATTATAGAAAAAATATTCATTAGAAATGGGAGAAAACAGAATAGGCCCTGGTAAAAATCTTTACACATAAAGATGAAAGGTTTGAAAAAAATCAGAGTGAATGAAAAAGGAAACTGGGTTAATGCAATTAGAGAAAAGTCTGTAAATTTGGAAGACAAAGATAATTTAACAAGAAGATTGTGTCCCAGAAGTTGATATTCCAAGACAATGAAACAGAAGATAATTTTGCACAAATGAAGAAAAGTGATTTCACTACAAAAGAAGAAAGCAAATCTGCACATTAAAAGACCTCTCCATCTTTTAGAAAACTGGATGCAAGTGCTCAACAGACTCATATCCTAATTGGGCTAGCAAATGGTAAATTGTAAATAATTCCTCAGGA